GTTTGAGTTTCTGAGGTATTTTGACTGCTGCTGCTCCCTGCTCTGGTAACAGCATGCAGAGTGAGCGCAGAGCAGAGGGAGAGAAAAAAACACACGCTGCGACCGACTCTGCCTCTGGATCTGACTCAGGGTCTCATATATATGGTTGTAAAATGGAGCTTCTGCTATTATTAGCCATGCTAACATAAACGCTGGCTTTGGAAGGCGGAGCTAATGTCAACAGATTTTTGGAGGGCGTTACCAACAGAGCTCATTAACATAAACAGCTCTTCTGAACGGAAGTCAGGGCAGGCAGAACTAGAAAATGGGAAATTTTATTATCTGAGAATTATTTTGTGCATTAAATTGAATAAACATGGTCTGGATAGCCCACAGATATATCATAAAAATTTCTAGGACCCATAATTGGTCTCCTTTAATAATTTTTTTCTTTGTTGTAATAATGCTTCTTGGCAAAAAATCTTATACCTACACCTGACTGGTAGCACCTTGGGGAACCAGAAGCTCAAAGTAAGTGTCAACAGCAAAACAATTTTCTAAACTGTTTGACAGAGAAGATTAGGCAATCCTTTCACATGTACAACCCACATACTCAGCTTTACTGCTCGTCCCACAAATGCATGTTCCTCACAAATGTGGCACCATTTAAAAAGGGAAATTAACAGTCTTTCCAACCGTATTGGATTTATTGCCAAGAAGTGTTGTTAGAACAAAGAAATTATCTACCAAACACACATTTCCTTACTTTTTATGCTAAGTTTGTAAACAGCAGTTTAAAGCTAAACTTGTCAGTTCTTCAGTGATTGAAGAACACTTTTGAAACACGTATATAAAAACCTAGAAGAACATCACTGATGTTCAGAAGGAAACACTCACAGCTTTGACTGTTTCTATTGTTTTCTTTCCAGCCGGTGCAGCCTCTCCTTCAGTCTCTCCTGGTACCTGCAGGCAGAAACACAATAAATCTAAAACACACAGAAAACAAAAACAAAAGCAGGCAGCTGAAATGATTTCCTGATGTCAGAGAAAAATGAGTCCAGTAAAGAAGTCACTGTACACTTTCAGAACTGAGAATGCAGAAAACAGCCAAACGTTGACTCATTTTCACTTACTTTATGTGGTTCCTGGTGTTTATTACAACATTAGCAAGGGTTTGTGGTTTTTAAATAGGAGTAATATTAAAAACAAAAAACAAATAAGAAGTAAACCCCACCACAGGGATGTCTCCTTTGGCCATGCCCTCTTCAAACTCTGCTTCTCGTTCCTGTGAATAAAAAAAACAAACTCATTAGAGACACTAAACCTCTTCTCCATTTGAAAGTCTCACTCTGTTCGGTTCAGGTCTGCTCAGGTGTGTGTGTCTCCATCTCAGTGTCCCTCACMCTGTGGGCATTAGGGCTGGGRATCATGGCCAATTCTTTAAATCYATTCAATTTRGATTCATAAGCTTCTGAATTAATTAGTCACAATTCGATTCAATTCGATTTGATCCGCTCTTAAATAATGATATCATTCAATTGTGTTGCAAAATACAATATCACTTTATTTTTTCTCTTCACCATAAACAASAGSTTTTAAGGASAAACTTTTAAATTAAACAGTTTATTCTCGAAAAAAATCTGTCACAAGTTTAAAAGGTTTTAAGTTTAAAAGAARTGCAGGTGACAGTGTTGTTGAAGGAATTCATTTTTATGAAATTAATATTTTCTTGATGAATAAGAAGTGATGGAATACGACTGCAGGACAAAAAGCGAGCTAATGTAAACATACTTCTGCTCACTCCTTTTGAGTGTATGAAAATTATTTGTAATGTTTCTGTGACCTTCTGTTGTTATGTTCAATTAAAACTTGTTACTTATACCTTAATAAAACAAATAATTACAACATTTCATCATTTCACTAAGACGTTTCTTAAAGTTTACAAATAATAACATTGGTAACAAAACTAAACGATTTTGTTAGAATGTCGTCGTTCACACATTTCTACATGCTGTGGAGAACAGTTTCAGTCAGATGTTTACACACTGTTTGGTTTGACCGCCTAACGAGCCGCTCGTCGAAGCTTGCTTTGATTTCGCTACAGCGTAGGAGCGCAAATCTTTGCAAACACAAGTCACCATGGCCTCTGTTGTCTTTAAAGGGGCAAGATCATGTAAAATCCACTTTTTTGAGTTTTATATCATGTTATAATGTTATACTCTCATAAAAAACATGTCCAAAGCCTTGCTTTGGCTCATTCATGTATGTTTGAGAAAACCTGCAGCGTTTTTAGGAAGCTGTGCTGAGGAGCAA